TATATATATATATATAAATGAAAAAAAATCACTGGCTTACTCTAAGACACCAGTTCTGAGTCTGACACTTCACAGGCATGCCAAGGAACTTGGAATAAACTCGGCGAGTTTATCGGTTTTTATGATCGCAGCAATCAGTTCAGCTGTGTAGGGGAGAAATGGGATTTGGCTGCGTAACTCAAAATAGTCTCCGAAGGAAGCAGACATGTCTGTCCCTTCATAGCTCTGATACAAAAAGAATATTAAATGCTCCCTGATACCGGCCACCAGTTGCATTTTCCAACCTTTGGTTGAGCTGTGCAAGAGGTAACTTTCCAGCGCTGTTTCAACTGTAAAACAATTTTTCCTTGGTTTTGAGGATTTTCATGCTTTCTCTCCTACAGAGCAAAGCAAGCCTGCCCCATTGCTTAAGGGTGGTGTTGTATACGGGCTGGGGTTTTACAAAGCTGGGGCTGGGGTGAGATCAAAGCAGCAGGAGCAGCCGGGTGGTCCGTCCTTCAGAGCACGCCAGTGGGAAATTTTCCGCAGCCGATGTTTCAGTTGTGTTTCAGACCCTGCTTGCGGAGATGCCGCAGCAGCGTCTGAGGGGACTCCCAGCTGTGTCGAGGAGACTTGACGCTACCTTGCAAAGAACTGGCAAATACAAGGTGTTTTGCTGGCAAAATGTTTTGTTTTGGTTAACTAATATTATTAGGTGTGTGATCACCTGGTAAATTCTCTTGCATTCTTAAAATCAGCGATAATAGGATTTGTTACGTATCGTCATTTGCTAGCACTAGGAGTAGCTGCCCAAGGCTTTTTAGCTGGTGTATGAGATCCAGGGCTTTCACAGAATCCTACTCCATCCCCTGCCAACCAAAATAGGGAATAGGAAGTTTTAGAATCTCAGTTTCAGTAAATTTGAATCAATCAAAGCTGCATTAAGAATATTTTTTGCTCCATGCACCTTCTCTATCCAAGCTGAAGACTGTGTTCAAACTAAGTGACAACTTGGAGATTGCAGCCGATTTCCCCACATCAGTGCTGAGGACCGCGTATACACATCAGCTCTGATCCTGCCCTGCCTGAGACACGGTTGGTGCACTGATTGCTAAAATCCCTCTGAGTGCTCTGCAGGGACGAAATCTAAAAAAAGGCATCCCTGCGTTGTGCACATTAAACCCCCTGAGAAGTGGGATTTTGGGTCCTGTGCAGCTTTTGCATGGTTTTCTGCAGTCTAGAAGTTGTATAAATACACTTGGTTGAATCCATCCCATTATTCTCTTCTGGCATGGGATGGTCCTGGATTGACAGAAAGTAATTAAAAATCTGAAGGTCCTCACACATTTATTACAACCTTTCCTGTCTTTTGTCCAGTGTTGAGAGCTTGCTGTGCTTCCATGGGTTTGTTTTTTTGTTTGTTTTTCACTTATTTAGGGGAAGAAGTGGCAAAGGAAAAGGAAACCAGCTAAGTAAGCAGAATGTAATTAGCAAAACTTAGAAGTGGCTCGGGTCCTTAGATAACAAGCCTGTCTTAAGAGGGCAATACAGCAAATAACAGCAAGTTCTTGGTACATTAGTTCTTATCTTGTCATATGAGTTTGGTGTTACAACAGCACTGGTTTACCAACACAGAGTGCCTGGTCTTTAGTTCGAAACAAACTCTGAGATAATGATGCCAGTTCTTGCATCACTGGCACCAGCCAGATTCGCCCTGTCTGGAAATACCTGACATTATCTGGTGTATGCAGTCACTTGCTGCCATGCAAAGGTAATTGCTCACTGACCCAGAGAAGACATTTTTTTTTTTTTTCTGGAAACTTATGTGCTTTTAACTGCTGAGAAGTACTCAAGAAGTCATAAACCTGTGAGTTACTACAGGCTGCACTCCTGGAACATGTAGACCATCTCGACATATGGAGTAAATCAGGACGGCTCCACTGACTTCGGTGCAGCAGCATCTGTTACCGCTCGCTGTAACCTTGCTCCAGACTGTAGTGATGGCTGTCTATGGACAGTGGATAGATAAAAACCCTCCCTTCTATATTCCCTTGTCATAGCTTTACTGTTTATGAACAAATAAATGAGCTACAGGTGGAGGTGAAATAGTAAATTATTTTTGCCTCTATAAAATTACTTTATTTGGACATATGCTAAGTTCCCTCTCGCTCCACTTGGTTCCTAAATCAAGTAGTTGATTAATGCATGCACTTTGTTACTAGCACTCAAAAATACATCAGTGATTAGTTCAGAGATAGAGATTGGTGTTTAAAAAAAACCCAAACCTCAAATGTGCACCTGCACAAAAACAAGTCAGGCAGAGCTGACTGCATGAAAACCGGGTGGGCAGCACCCATGTAAGTCACAGGACTATGGGAAGAGAAGCTGCTTTTCTCTTTCCTTGTGCCAGGAGAAGCAATGCTATCAGGCTTATGTATGATGGATCAGAGTGCAGTGGTATTGCTTCAAGCAAAAGTCATGAATTTTAATCAACTTTACTGGCTGCCTTGAAATTTGAGTTGAAAGATAAATGTGAAAAACAGGCAGCCCGTATTGTTTCTGGAACAGAACTACCCCTTTTCTGTTGATTAAAAGAATTTTTCTTTTAACTTGATAATAAAAAATACTTCCCTTTAGTTCTGGAATTTTTTTTAGTCTAACCCTTCAGGTCCTGCCAGCCCTGGGTGCCTCCCTGAGCCAAGTGTCACCTCGTGGCCACCCAGACAGCTGACCTTGGCTGCGGAGACTTTCCAACCAGAGGGGCTTGTTGGCTGTCTGCTTTCAGCCGTTTTAAGAAAGATAGGTTTAGGGCTTTACTTAAATATTCTTAATGGTTTTTTTTAAAGAAAGAATAGACTTGCCTGGTGAAAACTGCTGAGTGGACTGTCCGGGGAGTTGGAGTCCGGCTTATATTCCTTAGGGAAATTTGGCACATCCAGCATACTTGTCCTTCACTTCTGTTGCTCCAGAGATGCTTTTAAGGTTATGTGGTTGCTGTACTCATTTGGGCATTGATCTTCCTAATTAAATATAAGTGATTTGAATGCTGACATTGTCTAGGGGGGGACATCAAAGCTTTGAGAAGAAGTGGACTGAAGCTATCAGCTCACATCCCTGGACAGGAACACACACCCGTGGTGTTGTTTGCAGCCACTGCCAGGCTAGTCCAGATTATTTTGAGTAATTGAGAGTGCTTTCCTCACTCCTCTGTACAGACATTTGCTTTAGGGGGTTATTATAGCCACTTTTCTTGTTTTGCCATTAAGTCACCTCTGTGCAGGAGTAAGTTTGAAGGGTTGTATTTAACGCCAAACAACTTTTAAGAAAGGGAAGGGGAAAAGTAGCCTACAAGCACCAAGGAGATAAAAAAAATTGGTGGAAGACTCCTGAGTGGCTCCTCCTCTCTCAACCACGAGTGCTGTGGTTTTTTTCTGTTAGGAGCTTCTATGGTTCAACTCCACACCTAGTTTCTCATCTCCTCTGGTAGCTGTAGGTTCAGCAACTGCTCCATATTAGTGACGATTTCATTGCACCTGCAGCAGGGGCTTATTTGATGATCTGAGAAAGTCTAGCTGCTTTCGCTGGTAAGAAAAGCAATATATTTGGGGGCCTAAATTGGTAAGAAGGGGCACATACAAACCTGCTAAGTACAAATTCCAGCTTGTTTGTACTCTCAGTTGGTTACACCCTTGGCTGAGAACCCAAATATTTCAAGAATTTGTGTTGAGGTATATCCTTTCCCAAAAGAGGCATGAAGTTAGATTCCCCTTTTTCATCAATGGGTGCAGTTTCTCTAAGGTCACCAGGTGTTTGCTTGAAACAGATATGTTAATTCCTTCAAGGTATGTCCAGAGACTTTGGGAGGGGAGGTGATGCTTTGCTCTGGTACGAGAACCTGGTGGCTGCTCCTTGTGCACGTGAGATGACTTGGCTCTTGCTTTGATGGGAATTCGCATGCTGTAAAGGAAACCCACCTTATTTCCATGTCCCTTTCATAGAAACTGAGATGCCATACAGTGCCATGCTTTGCTGTAGTGAGGCCATTGGTACTACGCCAGCGTACCCCAGTGACTGATTTTTTGAATATTTTTTTTCCCTGAGGCCTTCAAACCATGTATGTATGCCGAAGCAGAAGATTAGCTTCAGTAAGGAGGCTCATTTCAGATGCAAATGCTCTATGGGCTGCTGCACAAATGAAGCCTGCCTGATTTTTAATTTTTAGAGTTTTGTTTGTTTATTTTAATGCCCCACTGGAGCACTCTTGTTTTGCTTGCTCCTTCTTTCCATGTTGCTGTGCTGCAGGTTCAGAGGTTGGGGTGGTGTGAACCCATTCAGTTGTAGTGTTATGCCATAGTAGGATCAAGCTGGATGGTTGGTAGGGCTGTTATTATTACTGACATTATTTTTGGTATTACTTCCTTCTAATACCATTTGCCAATGCCTTGAGGTGTCCTAACATATCCACACACTGGGTAATCAGCTGCCTGAGAAGGTGCATGAACATCATGGGGTGCAGCACATTGAGGTACCAGGGCAGGATGTGGGCAAGCAGTCAGTAATCCCTGTGCATCCCTTTCCTTGCAGTTACCTGGCCGAGCAGTGCTGGAATGGCGGCTTCATCTACCTGATCATGTTGCGCCGCATCAAGCGCAAGGCCCCTCTTCCTCCCTCCAACGGCAACAACAGCAACAGCTGTGACCCCAAAGCCAAGCCCAGCCCTGAACCTGGCGACAGAGCTGCTCAAAATGGGAAAAGGACCAGGAAGTTTGGGGTCATCACCAGAACACCAGGCAGCAAGGACAGCAAAGAAAAGCCAGGTTCTGAGCACGGGAATGGGCACTGCACCCCGATGGAGGTGGAGGTTGCTCAGCCGGAGACCTCTGAAGCAGAGAGCAATGGGGAAGAGCAGCTCCAGAGCATGGGAACACAGTACCGGTGCCGGCTGTCGGATGGCGGCATGCCAGACATTGGTGACCAGTCTGCTCAGGTATGTTTGCTTTGGGTTTTTCTGGAGAAGGAAGCAGCAGGCGTGCAAGCGAATTAAACTAATTTCTCAAGCAGTTTTCCTGGTTTCAGTGCTTTGTCCTTGGGCTGAGCCTCTGAGTGACAAACCAAGCTGTCAGGGCACCGAGCCGTGGGATGGGATCTAAAGCAGGGAGGAAGGAGGGTTACAGGGTTAAATAATATTTGTGAGGAACCTCTGTCATGCTCCATCTGTGATGGAAGGGAAAGTCCTTATATCTCTGACCTGTCTGGGTTGGCCTTGGGATTTCTTTTGTTGAGACAACTGATGACCTTAAACGCCTGGGAAAGGAGGTGTCGGTGGAAGATGGTCATTTTGTCCTTTGAGGCTTCATGTTTAGCTCTGAGCTTCACAGCACCTTAAAGCTCATTTTAACATTTGAACTGAAGCTTCCCTTTCTGATACACCAGACCACGGTGCATTTATTTGTGTTAACAGAACATTGGCCAGTGTTTGGGGACCACGTGGAAGTCATTGTGAATTTTGCTCCAAGTTGATGAGATGGACAATTTGTTAATGTTTGGGACGACAGTGGGATTGAGGCTTTCATTGCTTCTCTCTTCATCCTAATGGAGATCTTGGGGTTTGTTGCCTGACTGGAATTGCAGCGTTGGTGGATGGAGAAAAATAACCAGAGCCTTGATCGGGTTTCAGTACTCATCTATCACCAGAAGACCTGTCTGCCAATCTTTCCAGAGATACTGATAGTATAAACAGATGAACACTGCTTCATTGGGCTTGAGACTTGCTGCAGCAGCTGGTTTTGGTTTTAATACTTCAAAGCTGGTAACAGAGCAGTGTGAGTGGACATCTCATCACTCAGTTCTGTTGAGGAAGCATGGGTTTAAATGTGTCCTCTGAATTAGTGCTCCCCAGTACTACTGCAGGGTGGTGGTTGTGAACTTAAATCTAATTTAACTTCACACATTAATTTAACAAGTACGTTGGAAGGGCTAAAACCAGTTTTAAAAAATGCTGGTCTTAAATAACTGTGATTGAGAAAACCTGCTCTTCCCATCAGTGAGACATGTTGGATTTCATAGTGCAGCAGGAAGGAGAGGATGTTTGTGTACTGTTCTTGCAACCCTCGTAATTGCAGTTTTTCTGAAAGAAAACATTAAAAGTTTAAAAATAAATACTTCAGTGTTTTGAAAGCTCTGTTCCATATAAAAACTTCTTCAGTCTGTTCTGAAGATGTCTAATTAAACACGTTATGAATGAAGATGAAAAGAGTTTGGTATGAGGAAGTGGAAAGCTAAAATACATATATATATAAAATAAACTCTTGATCCAGAGTCATGTATTACCTTGATGTTTTGAGTCATTTTGGTCTGAGAAGTACATTGTTAAATTCAGAATATATATATATATATATATGTATCAATGTGAGCAATAAATACATTTTTAATGCAAAGCACATACAAGGTGGCTTTGTAAAGTGTAAAAGCGTAGTTGAGTCACTGGAAATTTCAGAGCTATAATCTGTTCAGTTGTGGTGTATCTGTCATGGAGCCTCTTGGGAGGCAGAGTAGTTTAGTAAAATTGCTTCTCTCTCTCTTTCTTTTAATTTCCCCCACCCTTAATATTTTGCTTAGAAATATGACCTCTGTGTGTGTCAGTATTAATTACATTTTCCTGACATCTGAATGAGGAGAAATGTGAATAGTTGGAGTCTGAACAGCTTGCCTTGCTCATCCTCTGCTTTTTAAAGATGAGAGGCCTTATAGAAGCCCATCACTTTAGCATCTGTGGGATAGCTGCTATCGGAGCAATGAGTGGCTTAACTCAGTTTCTTAATAACTATTGAATACTGACAGTGAATAAAATTTTCAAAATTATTTGAGTCCTGTTTAAAAAAAAATTAGGAAAAAAAAAAAAAGGCAAGGAGTAAAAGACATTTGGGAGTCTCAAGTCTCACTTCCAGCTCAGTTTTGAAAGCGTGACCTGGCACTCAGGCATGTGAGATCCCGTAGTGTCAGGAGCCTTTTGAAAACAGCGTCCAGGACGTCATGTCAGAAGCTGCAGCCTCCTTCCAGGCTTCAGAGCGCGAGCCAAACCTCTCGTAGCTGCAGGATGAGTTATCCGCTCCTGAGCGGGGACGGGGAGCATTGGCAGGGCATTCTCTTTGTGGGGAAAGTGGCTCCATCCTCACTGCCTGCCCCGTGCTCACCATCTCCTCCATGCGTCGACTAATTGAATATCCAGGGCTGTCAGCCCCGTGCCTTTGGGGAGCAGTATATTCACTTTGAGAGGACAGGAGCCAGCCTGTGGGATGGAGGTCGGCTGCAGGTGGGAGGAAAGGCTTTGAGAAGCTGCTCCGTGACAGATACAGCTGCGGGAGGACCTCCCTGGTCCTCTCCACCGCCCTGGTCCTCCACACCACACCTTCCCCCTCCACTGCCCCAGTATGCAGGTTGGGGAATTACTGAAATAGGAAGATGGAGTCCAGGAACGCTGTAGAAGGTTAGTTTGAAGTTGTAATGAAAACAAGGGAGTAGAAATTAGGTCAAACCTGCGTGTCTTCAGCCGCTGCTGTACTGAACCCAGTGGCCAGCTCATGGCTGATGCCTTGGGGTTGTTGCACTCTGAGTACTTTTGAGGCATCCATGTGCCTTCGGTGTGGTTTGCTTTCAGGGTACCTCCTCTCCCACGAGCATGGAGTTGTTCTCCCACTTTTTCACTGCACGCTGCTAATGACAGCAGTGCTGAGTTGTGAAATAGAGACGAGATGAACGCTGTTTGTCAAGGGAACCTGCCAGGAGATTCCTGCGTTACTGGTTTGTGTGCATGTGTCAGTCCCCATCTTCAGGCTCTCTTTCATCCCCCAGATCTCGGTCTGTCTCTCCTGTGCGCTTGGCATCGCTATTGCTGCGTACAAACAAATCTGCCAGGCTGTTTGCTGGTGTGTAACCCTCAGTAAATATTGTACCTGTCAATTAGCAGGCGGCATGTCATGTTTACAGGTGGTTAAGTTATGCTGCAATATTTTTAGGATGAACCTAAATGCCCTTTAAAGTGTGAGGATTCAAAGCAGCAAGGCTGTATCTGCCTGGCAGGAGGATCTCAAAGGCCTGGAAACAAGACCTGACCTTGTGGAGGACCCAGGGTGGCTGCAGTGGGAGTTGTGGGCAGTGATTTAAGACCAGGCAATCTCTGAGCCAGAGTAATGATCCGTCACATCCTGGGAAGACTGGGGAGCTTAAATACAGGAATCAGAGTTTACTTCTTTTATTCAGTGGCCTGAGACAGGGTGGTGTTTTGTAATTATAAAACCATAGATGAAAGAGGAGTATGAGGAGGGGCTGCTGGGGTCAGCTGAAAAATTATAAAGAAAAGGAAACTGAGGTTTCCTCACAACATACAAATTTTGTGGTTTCACTGTGTTTACCGATAGGACTGAATCCATCACTTTGTTCTCTTTCATGGTGTTTTTGGAAGAGCTGTGGACCACCACTACCTTAGCTGTTCAGCCCCTAAGAACAGCTGAGAGGTGGCCAGGTACACGTGGCAGGGGCAGGGATTGGAGGTAGGACTGTGAGGCTTGCGAAGATCAGGGGTACAGCCGCGAGGGGTGTGAGTGTAGTTTTCAAAGGGAACTTGAGCTGATCCAGGTCCGGCTGGTGTGATGAGAGCCTTTCGTTGATGAAGCCAGAAGAATCTTGGGTGGAGGTGAAGAGCACCTGAGCAGACCAGACACCTTTGCTTCCTCCGGGCCCAGCAGGATGCTCTGAAAAGTCCTTAAAACACCAACCTTCAGCTTCAAGATCTTTGTTCTGTGTTGTTAACCCATTACTCTGCACTGCGCTTGGCTTCATTTTATCAGCAAGTCTACTTGTTCGGGCCCATTACTTTTTTCTTATTAAGATGGCTTGTCTCAGGAAAGGCTGAATGCTTCTGGATTGCATTTTACTTTGTAGTTAGGAAAGGCTGACAGCCTTTCTATAGCAGTATTTACCAATTAGCATTGGTAAATGCCAGCCTTACCTTGCATTTTGGTTAATGGAAAATGTTCCTTATCTTGCCAAGCAGAAGAGGGAAGCTAATGGTACATGACAGGAATCAGAACTTGAGACTTGAAATAATGTACTGGCTTTAAGCATTTTACTGGTTTTTTTTTTTAACATGATGGAGGAAAAAAAATTCTCATCCACTTGCTGTACCAAAATGAAAACCTTGCTGTGAGCAAGGTACTTACAAAGGTAAATACGCTCAGCTCCGCTGAAGCTAAGTTGCTTTACATCAACTATTTTGGCAACCTAAGCAGTAATTATTATTTCATCAGGGCTTTTATGGGACTCGCATATGATGCATGTTTTAGACATAAATAACTCTATTTTTAGTTTTTAATGTAGACACCTTTAGTCATGTAAAGGCCTTCCTCAGAATCTGTTTCTGTTCTTAACGTCTTTTTATCTGTTGTGTTTGCTTCCAACTTTCATTAACATGGATCCTGGGGCTATCTACTGTCTTGAAGTTTTAATGTGCACTGTGATAAGCATGTCTTCCTTCTCTTGCCTGTTTTCAGTTGTAAACTCTCTTAGGGACAAGGGCTGTCTTTTAATTGTAGCTGTACAGCACTGACAAAACTTGGCCTTGCTTTTGCTTGGGGTTTTAGGAAGTGCTTTGATGTAACTAGTAGTGCAATTATAGTTAATTTTTCTTGCTGCCAGTTATGTTCCACCTTGCCATAAAACAAACCATTGTCACAGATTTCTGGGGTTAAGTCTCACTCGCTGCCAAATTTTTTCAACTGACACAGGGTTTTACCTTTCTTTGCTGTGATTTAAGCGACAGCGACAGCTGTGATAGCTGTAGATTTTAATTTTGAATAGCAAGCTATACTTTTATTCTGTTTTTGGTCTGAGTTTTCTGAGGGTACGGTGGAGGGTTTGGTGCAGAGTTAGTCTGGTAATAGATAAGTTGTAGTGAGTTAGTGTTAATGCGTCATCTCAAAATGGGGGTTC